AAAGCGATCAAAGTTGGATGAACTGCAGAAGGCAACCTAGCAACAGTCAAGATTTTAAAACGAGCACTGCAACTCCGTAAACCGAAAAGGGTTTGAAATGAAGTGATGTTCATACTACTCACGTTATATTAAATGGAGCGCAAATGAAATAAAAAAGTTATTATTATATTATTAAGTGTTTCGGCATGTCATAAACGAAATTACAACGCAAAAAGCCTAAAATCATAAATATTATGTACAGATACCGACGCTACCGACAAAATTCGGTGTCTTCTGTGCAACAACCAGGCTGGTCTGGTTCGAAAGGTCCTCACCTACAGAGAATGCTATTAATTAAAAATCTTATGAGTTGTTATGCTGTTTATGACCTGATGAAGCACACCGACATCTCCCGCATTTTAAATATTAAATTTTTCTTTGTATTCCTAAAGGGGATACTTGCCTACAGTCAGAGGCTGAACGTACGCACAGTCAGCTGCGGCGTGCTAAAAATTTCTTATATTGATGACTGTTCACGCAATCCTGGCAGTTTCAAAAATCAACAGCTTTCTGACACAAACTGTGATTATCAGTCTCAGGATTTTCAGCTATTCCAGGTTTGAAACGGAGACGCATAAACGAGCAAGAAGCTAGTCTGTCCTCACCGCGGTGCTGCAAAAAGTTGTAAAGCGAAAACTTTTGTATATATGCGTTTTGTTTAACACTTAGGTCAGTGACAAACGACATCTCACGAAGAGAAAAAATTTTCAACTCTGCTTACCCATCGTAACAACGAAGATCCATAGTCGTCAGAGCTTCGCGGGCATGGTCGGGATTTTCTGTGATAACTGGCGTACATTTGATGTCACACACTTTGAAAAGCGGTTCTACCGAACGCTGGTATATCCGCAAACCACGCCCGCGGCCACCGTAAGGGTTAACAAATATCAAAAGGTTTTTTGGTCTGTCAAAACCTAAAAAGACATCAAAAATGAAAATGGAAGAAATGACAATGACAAAGAACAAGAAGCAGAAACAGACCATGAAAAAGAAAAAGAAAGAAAGCACACGACAGCACTAAACGAAAAAGAAAAAGTAGCCTTCATACGCAAGTACCAGAAATCTTTTGCTTGATGAATTCGATCCAAAATTTACAAATGCTGAAATCTGCAAAAGTACAAACAACGTGGGCCAGTTGACAAATCTTCTGCTTCCGCTTTGCGTAGAAGATGCTCAAAGAAAAACCGGGAAAAAGACGAAGCCGCTTGAAGAAGTCTCGCAGCAGCTGGCTTTTGGGCATGAAAACGCCAAGGGCACTATATACATCTTTGCAACCGGAAAACGAGAAGCACGACAAGATCTTCGGCAATTGGATGCGCATCGTCTTTACGGGACGACTGATGCATCGCCCCAACCGATGGTAGGTGGCTGAAATGGAAGCGTACTTCAAGACAAACGAATACAGGTACACGTGCAAACATAAATCTAAAACTTTATACCATGTCCGTACATATACACACAAAGCTTACTCGAGGCGGTTTCGGTAAGAACGATCTCATCGTTGTCTACAAGCCATGACCCTGAATGGCCATTGATCATTACATCGATCGGTCGTGACAAAGTCGTTTCTCCACCATCGTCGCGTTTAAGAACGTCCTTCTCTTGTGCATCCTTCATTTCACGGGGATACTGTGTTTGGCACGCCGTTGATCTCCAGCAAAAACGCTAGTCAGTCGGTTTGGCCTCTCTTTCACATTTTGCTCGTCTAAATTTAAATAAACCCATCGAAGAAAGCATCTTTAAAATGGCTCATAGACGCGACTTTGGATTTAAGTCATGAACAGTATGCTGCTAGTGAAAAGAATGATTTAACATGGGAAATTCCGATGGAGTTCATTTTTATGAAACAGAAACAGTCCAAATTGCTTAGCATAAGCAAAACAGGCTAAATGAATTCATTCATTTAAGGAAAGACCGGTTAGCACAATGAAAACGACAACACGACCTAGGATGTCTCAGTCCGTCTCATGAAGAAACTATAACGTCGTTAGAGACACGATGTAAGAGCCTACACTGCCATTCAATAATGACGAGCTGCTATTTTCAGTGGAGAAAAGAAAGCATGAGTTTGCAACCGTTCCTTATACTTTCCTGATGGGGCCATATCCGGTGACCATTTCTTTTCATGAAGTAATGGTGGCACGCCGATGTTCATTCCCACGTCATCAGCCAAGAATGCCTTAGTTTAAAGGTAGAGACTACAGCAGCTATGCCGCAAGCATAATGCGTGGTCTCCCGTGTCCTTCCCAAGGAGAAGTACTCATTTATCAACCTCAGAAGGAAAAAAGACCAGTGACTCTCACCTGGACTTCTCGGTCCCGAGTGCAACGTTCTACTGACTGACTAACTCAGGTCCGTTGACATTGCTCATAGGCAGAACGTGACAGTCGCAGGATTTGAAAAGTCATCCATATTAAACCTGTTAGATTAGCGAAGAGCACGATCGGAAATGTTCCATGATTAGTGGATCAGCTCTGCAGCAATGGATCCCGTAGTCTGAGTTTGAGCTGCCGCCAAGGACACGGCAGATCCCATCTGGAATATCTACACTCACGGCGAAGGCCCTGTGAGCAGGAACCGCTGGTAGTGTACTACCACACTGTTCACGCTGGCTGTCGGTTATGAAAAATAAACGTCAGTAAATGGGAAGTAAGAAAAAAAGAAAAGTTTGTAACTGTTGAAATCTTTGTCTTCCTAAACTTTCGTGATGGAACCAATCTGCCGGTGCCCTTCCATTCAGGAACTTAATGGTGGGAAGTAAACAAACCCTCACCTATTTCATAAAGCGATTAAGTCAATCTGACTTCAGCTTTGAACCCTCAGCTGCAACTCTTTTGTTTATTCATATATATGAACGGAACAAACAAAGCCGAAGCGGAAAATTTTATCGTCGACATATTTCTCTACCACTCAGGAAAAAACATCAAACACCTAACAGGTGAGTAGTGAAACACGTTGGAAAACATTTTACCAACGATTCTGTTTCCTGTCAAAACCAATATCAACAAAATATTTACAATTCCAACAACAAGCAAACAATCGAACATGTCCAATCATATTTTAACATTCATTTGTTCCCACCACGTATATGAGAAAACACGGTGCAAAAAAACAACTTACAAATGCACCACACAAGACAATGATCAATCGAATGACAGAAACGTAAACAAATGCTTTGGAATGCATCCCATTGGCTTGTTGAGTTTTTGACAAGTTACATCTATTGAACTACCGTTAATGACTTCTCGGGTTGTATGCAGGAGCGGTCTGTTTTACATGCAGAAATAGAAAATCGAAATCGAGGTTACACCTTATGCTGATTATTATACTGGGTAGTCAGTTATTGGGAAGGGGGGGGGGTCAAAACGAAATGCAGCAACAAAAAACGCTCATACTGGACAGCATGACCGTACACCTAGACAATTCTAACATGACCGAATCAGCATACCATGTTATCCCCATTATTCGCAAGTCACTGGAGGATTTACTGCTCGTTTCTCGGCTGGGTGTCCGGAAATCCTTGTCCAAGGGAATTCGTGGTTAAGACCAAGATTACCGTTCACCGGAATCGAATCCGGCACCCTTGCGGTTCAAAGCATACCCTTAGCGCACCACACCAACCTGTAACCACGCCTCCCCCCAGAGGTCTTTTTAAGTGTTAAAATTTTTTGTCAAAAAAACAAACCAGAACTTCAAATTCCACGGGCCATAGCGAGATCAGAACGGTATTAAACCAATATACCGCAATGGCAATAGAGACGGTTGTGTGTCTTCGCATTCTAAAAGGAGCAACCTAACGCAAGGGGCACCATCCATTTCTAGTGCGAAGAATCTTGCTGTGTTGAAACCTAATTAAAGGTATCCACGGTTTAAAAGTTGGCATATAAACCAGTTAGTCAAACAATCAAATTGTTTAGTTGCTTTTATCATTCAGTGCCATGTTCCACTTGAACAGTGAAGCGAAAACCAAGTTTAAGGAAAACGTTTAAAACCGACCTTGAGCAAAAATCGAAATGCTAAAGAACGGAGAGCTTATACGAAAACCGCAATGAAAAGGTTGAAAAAATTGTGCTGACGGTCACATTAAATTCTGGGAAAGAACCAGAAGTCAAAAGTTTTTAAAAATCAAAGTTCAGAAAATTTTATTCACGAATATGCTAGATGAAACCAGTCGAATCGGTTAACATCATGCTTCTGAAAAGAGCTTACTTACGCTGGATTACCAATCCATCCATTTATCAGGGTTTCGGTCAAGGAGCCAAAATATGTGTCAAAGCAACGATGTCGTCAGCAGCAGACAGCGTCATTCGTCAATGCCTCGTAAATGACTGAACATGGAACATTTAGCCGCAAACCAGGACTAGTTAGTTTGTTAGTACGGTGCTGCTAATGCCGGAAGAACAGCTGAGCAAACAACTTATTTAAAACTGAGCGGTGGAGGGTAAAGAGCTGGAATGACTGAAGCCATATTTTTGTTGTTCGAAATATTAAAAGGAAATATACTACCGTAACTTCGTTGGTGACGATCAACCTACTAATATAATCAACAAAATAACCAGATGCACCCATGCACTATAGACCCTGAAGGTCCATAGAACCGTATACCGTGTCATGCTACGAAGTACGGTTTCGGTTGTACAGGTGTTCTTTCATTTACCCACTTGTTCATCTATTACTTACTGAACACATTCAAGAATTGCCCATTTTTTTCAGAAAATATTATCAATATGACATACA